TCGAAAAGAACGGACAAAATGTGACGAAGTTATGAGCGAATTATCAAAAAGGTCACTTTTTGAGGGTTTCCTTGACTCGCTCCGATTAAGATGCCCATAACTCGGTCAAATTTGAGCAGAACTCCCAAAAAATTTTTTCATAACCACAGTTTGATGTACTGAATCCGAATATGTAATAAAAAGTATAGGTCAAAAAATTTCACTTAATGGCAATACTCGACGTTCTGATGCAGGCTCTCTTAAGATGTTTTTCAGTGATTTTGCTATAACGAAAGAAAAAATTTACACAAGGGCACTGAAGAAAAAATTATCTAGTATTTATAATGAACATTGAAGTAAAAACGATATGGAAGCCTCATACGTAGTACGTGATAGAGTGCTGCAATAAAAATGAAAAGATGCTCTACTCCGATTAACTCGCAACAGGATGCGAATTAGTTTGTTAAAAAAATATTCAGTAACTTATTATAGAATAATTTGCCGACAAGCTAATTTGACTAATACATAATAAGAGAAAAAGATTCAACGACGCCACTGAAATACTAGCAGATCACGCTGCAGAAAAGATTCAATTATAGAGACAGAATAACATCAAAACATTTATTGCTTGTCATAATGCTGTAAAAGTGTCCATTTGGATAAAGATGACATAATTGTGTATTTATTTCGAAAAGAACCATGATGCAAACGATTATTATTTTACTTATAGATGAGATTTACTATTCCATTTCCTAGGATGAGAGCATAGTTTTAAGCTACAAAATATTGCGTTTTCCCACAGTTAGCCTACAAATATAGATTAAAAGAGTAGGCGTTCTTGCTGCAATATTTTTCCACAATCGCTGGTGCTGAATAACTCCGAATGCCCTAAAATCGTAGCTTAGAGTTGGTAGTACAGCTTATCTGAGCTAGATTTTTTCAATATTTTTCTATTTTTGCCCAAAACTTTTATGAAAAATGTTGGAAAAGCTTCGGATAGCTTTTCGATTCCGGCTCTATGAACTTGTACCGCCAACTCTTGGCTACCTTTGAGACCATCCAGAGCTGCACAGTAACACTCAAAATCGTGATGAAATCTTTGCCGCACATTCAGTTTAAACTCAAAATAACGCATTCGAGAAAAAAAAGCCGTGCATTTCTCGTTGCATTTTAGAATTTGTGGAAAAATGTTTGTAACTGTTTAGGAGATTGTCACACAAACTTGTGCTTTGTTTTTCCTTACTAGAACAGAATGATTTACAAATCTGTACGTTTATAAAATAGTTTGATTGCATAGGTATGTTGAGTCATTATTATTATCTTTCTGTGATGGGGAGAGATGGCGATTGACTAGCTTAGTAGTTAGAACGTATGAAATGGAATAGCAAGGTCGTCAGTTGGAATCTAAATCTGATAAACTATTACAATAGTCGATATTAGACTAGTACTGGACGTGACTGTTAAAATGACTATTAAAATAAATTTCATGGGAAGTACAAATTTGTATCATCATTTTATCGGAAAACCTTAATTTCAGCAATAACAACAGACAAAATCTCGGGCGAAATGTAATTCATCAACATCAATAGTATCAATACATAGAAAATGTAACAATACAAATAAACAGAAATTTAAATGTATCGTTATTGATACAAACAATAATTTGTGTATTATATGAAACTATTTTAGCCGGTTGTTGATACTTTTAAGGTTTTTTGTGAGCTCCAAGAAGTGTGAACATCTTAACCGTTGCGCTTGAAATAGACCACAATGGTGACAGTGAATCTAACAAAAATTATGAAGTTCTATTCAAAAATGAGAACCATGAAGGAAAAAATGCATCTTTTGAACAGTTATTATCAATTGGTGTTGGATTCTGGGGTGATTTTACGTCATGAATAACTACTCCACCCGACAGATATGCACCCCACCAACCAAATGTGCCGACTGTTACAATGGTGTTTTGACAAACAGCCAATATAGCCAAATCTTCAGCTGGTGTAAATGAATGAGGTGTAACGACGACATTTAAGATATGAGTAAATGTTCTGCTACAATATGATTTTTCGTCACTTGTTATGACGAATATGGTTCGATTATTGTATTTTGTATTGAAGAGATTCATTGCATCTAATATAAAACTTGTTGATGATATCGTTCGTCCGTATAAAAAATCACCGCGTCGAATATGAATACCGATCCATGTATATGATGATAAAATCAATTTATTTCTCAGCTGCAATTGTGTCAGGTTTGTTTTATCAGTTTGATTCTTGCTAGAATATGTCTGCATCGTATTCTGAATGATACAACTTTTTATGATAGTTAAGTTTGTCATGTTAAAACATGTGTTTCTCAGGTGTATTTGCCATTCGAAAAATAGACCAACTCTTGCCAAGATCGATGGTCGAAATGTAAATTGTTTTTGTATTTCTTTTGTGTAAGTGGTAAAATGTCCTTGAACTTGCCAAAATCCAGTTAATTCTAAATACTTAATAGCATTCGGTTTCAACAAATAAGGAAAAAATGTACAATAATTATATAGCTGTCGAACAAAGCGTACAACGTTTAAATATTCTGTTTCAGTGACTGTCATATTTAACACATCAATTTCAAAAGGGATCGAAAGTTCATCGATTATTAGTTTGTCGATGTACAATCGACATGAATGTGTTAGAGCTAAACCCACGGCACTAGCAAACATAAACATTCTATTCCCTAAACGTCCATTTCTTTCGCGTAATATGATGAGACATGTCGAGGAGTTATCTGCATATGTAGAATTATCCAATGTTTCAATATTACTTGAATTATTTCTATTTAACATATATTTTGGTAATTTATTGGTAAATTCTATATTGAATAAGTGATAAGAGATCAATATTAAACCGTATACGGCAATGCATAGTGCAACTCCGAATATGGAATATTTTACATATGACATTGAATAAAATGATCAATAAATTTTAGAAGAACCTATAAGATAATTCTTTCGTCATTATCTGCATAATTAATGCACATGAATGTAAAGGTAAGATAAAGACAACTCACCTGATTGCACTAATCCAAATGATAGAAAAACACGTTAGAGTTTCGTAATAAGTTTATTTTGATTTCTAAATTCTGGTTGTCAACGTAATCGTCTAATGCCATGGTAGGAAAAACAACCACTGTCTGTTAAAGAAAATAATAGTCTTTCTCGTTGCTAGAAAGTTCGGGCATTCGTCGTTTGAAAGAGTTGGTTTGAAGATCACATCAGAGAAGAAAAAAGTTGAAATTTTCTTCAAAAGTTGATCTCTTCGACGATTTCGCAAAATAATTCACACTTCAAACAAGTGAAATTGCAACAGACTCTCTTATGAAGAGTGGATAGCACCAAGTCTCATCTTCGAAATGAGAACTATCTAATGTCTTTATTTTTCACGGTTTGGATCGAACATTGGATGACATTTGCTTTCGCTATAAGCTCTTTTCTTTGTTATAACCATTTTTATCTAAATAGAAACATCGGCAATCGAGTGTGTACCCATTATAGGCGTTCCAGAAGAGTGAGAAGAATGAATATGAGAAAACAAAAAATCAAAAAGAGAAAAAAGAGAAAAAAGAAAAAGAAAAAAAAGCAGACAATATAATATAATGTGCTGTGAAGGGGTGGTAGGAAGAATGGCTGTGTGTGTGGAGGGAAAGATTATATATAAAAAATAGAAACATCAAACACGGTCAAATCGCCTTCTCTCCTTAATGTATTTTAAAATAACTCTGTAAATATCTTGCATCTGCTTAAATGAATGGTGGAGGTCTATAAAACCACGGGGAATAAAATCAACACTCTCAAATTTGTTAACAGTTAATTCTAACATTTTTCTTCTCATCTTCATCCTTGCCTGCACGTAATTTGGACAGTGTAAAAAGAAATGGGCAACAGCTTCATCTGCGCCACATGAACACGATGGATCAGTGACTAGTGTATGTGTGAACAGATCAAATTTTAATTGTGAAAAACCGATTCGCATTCGACAAAAGTTAACCTCATTAGTTCTATCTACAATATGTGGAATTCGATAAATACTTGGTAAGTATCTGTTTTGTTTCCAGTGAAGAAGAAGTGCTTTGAACTGACTAGATCGACCAATCGTCCGTAGTTCAAGCGAAATTTCATTCCATAGTTTGTACGTTATTCGTATGAATGACTTCTCGAAAACTTGTAAACCGCTCGTGAGTGTCGGTAGCTTACGTCGAGTACGACTACGTAAGTTGTGAAAATGAGTAATGGTATCAGCAGATACTAACTCAGTTAATTCAATAGGGACTTTCCGATGCATAATCTTGTGAAATAGAGTCAGACGTTGATTAACTCTTTTCTCTTAGTCTGAAATACTATAACTCGTGCATCTAATGATCTTCCAAAAAACTAATAATTGAATTTAAAAAAAGATCTGTTATAAAAATGTACTTGAGGTATTCCAAGGCTAAAAATTTCTAAAAAGCCTAAAAGTATTTTTCCCCATGGCTCTTGAAGATCCGGTTTTCTGGAAAAGAAGTTTTTCAGAAACCCTGAAAAATAGCGAAAACATTTAAAATAATTGTAGCCCGCACACTTCTGATTAGACTGAGACATTTTCCAGCTTTACACGACCTTTCTTTGCAAAGTTATAGAATTTACAACAAAAGCACTAGATGTTCATTGTCAGCTCAAAGCTACAGAAATAAGAAGAAATTAATTTAGAGCTCTTCTTGTATATTGTATAACCTTGGAAAGAAAGGTCGTGTAGAGCTGAGAGATGTCTCATTTTAATTAGAAATGTGCGGGCTACAATTCATCCTCATTAAGAAATATTTTGGTTATTTTTCTGACAAACTGGTTTTCCAGAAAACCGGACCTTCAAGAGCTATGGGAAAAAATACTTTTCTTTTTACTATCTCAATATACTCTATCGAGTGAGATATGAGTGAGTCAAAACGAGAGATGACACCTGGGAATGTTTTCTCGTAAGAGTTTCTCGAAAATACTTTTATCGAAGAAGATGGAAGATGTTTTTTTAATCGAGTTTAAGTTCAATCAGGTCATCTAGACATCTAGGGTAAAGATGAATTAGATTCAACTAAGCGAAGTTTTTGTCGTTTTCATCCAGTTTCATCCGTTTCATCCGTTTCATCGTTTCATCCGTTTCATCCAGTATTGAATAAAATATTAATAATTCCAAGTAAAAATTAAGTAAGTGAGAAAATCTGGCTTGCAGGTAGATTAATAAATACATTTGTCTAGCTACATGCTGATTAACAATTGTGTTCTCGCTGAAGCGGTCAGTGAACGTTAATTTACAGTGTACACTCACTCTCTTAAAAGTTATTGAACATTTGTGGAAGAGTAAGTAGGAGCAAAGTCTTGAAGAAAAATGGCACCAAAACTCAGATAAATGTCCATGTTATTTAAATCGATACATAAGAGCAAAGTAGAAGTATTAAATCTTAGATAAAACAGGGTTTCCTAGAAAATCAACTCAATTTTTCAATATTTCTCAACATCGGAGGAAATGTATGTTCCCTTAGAATAACATTTGTTTACTTCAATTGCAGCAGCGGGAAAACATATGCTGAAAACTCGACTAAAAATCTCCATTAACTGTGAAAGTTAATTATTATTATAACTTAATTTTATATTTCTACTGGAAACATTCTCAATATCGAATAATTGTCTTGTTAACGGAAAAACTAGCATACTACCTATTTTTATCTTACCAAAAGCAGCATTTCTGTTAGCTAAAAACTACATATATCGGAATGAACTTGTTAAACTTGAAAAAACGTTTTACAAAAAATTTTTTAGCCTTGGAACATCTCGATTATTAGCATTTTCTATCTGTATCTGATGATCTTTTCTCTTAATAATATCACATATTTCATTATTGTTTCATCAACAACAAAATTAGAATTATTACTGGTATTTTCAATGGGTAAAATGTCACCGTTTCCTCCATTATAATGGCGAAATCGACCAAACTCCTTCCAAGTAGTATCAGTTTTAAATTTCAGTCCTGATTCTAGAGCATGAATATTTTGCATTGCTGGTACATTTCGCGGTCGAATAAACATTTTTGGTGGTGACTGCTTAGTAATGAACTTACATTTTTCAATATTCAAATGATATCGACTTTTTAATACATCAATTCGTGATAGAAAACAAGAAATTGACCAGTTTAGAAATTGAACAGCTCCAGGATACATCTGCTCTTCAAAATTCTCATCTAACAATTCAGCTAGTGTTCTTGATTTATTGAATATTTTTTCAATTATTTCATCGTTTGGTTGAAAATATTCGTCAACATCAAAGTATCCGATCCAACGATTAAATGGTCCAAAACTTTTTAAACAATGATTCATGGATGATGTTTG